GACTAGGTATTCTATACCTGGACCAGGTATTCTATACTTGTTTTCTGTAAAATTTTTTGACTGTAGTGTGTGAAAAACAATATCAGAGTTGATAAAAGCATCTGGTCTTCAAAGCTGTAGTCATTAGAAGTTCTTATCCAGTTCCTTTTGTCTACGGTGTGATCATTCAGAGGGTGCTACATATCAGGTAATGATAAATTGGAATCTATCCAAAACATTAGTTGAAAATTGTTCCAAATTGTCAGTCACCACTGTGTATTTGTGGCATATCATGTCATGTCTGTTGAGCACAATGATGTTGCATTGATGATAGATGTCACCATGATGATCTGATATACTATCCATGAGTTATTTCTTACATACAAAAATTTGGTAACTGCGTTACCTTTTTACTTTTCTGTGTTGATTACTGTGTTGATAATTTTAGCATACTTTAATCGTCTTCATTTAAGCCTGCCCTGTTGTGGCCAAGATAGAACAGAATAAGCAGATACACTTTATAAATAAACATTCATCTGTATGTGCTGCTTCAGCCTCACAAAAGAAATGTAAAACTGACTGCCCCTCTGTTGATTGCATTAGTAAATTTCCAGGATGAGGAAGGTCAGCAGGTTTTTTTACATTGGTAAAGCAACAGTCTCCAGGGAAAAAAGGCGTAACTGGTGAACTTGAGTCTCATTTGGCTTAGAGAAAGTCCCCTACCATTGTGGGCAACTGATGAGATAGGAATCCACTCAGAGATTCCACGTTGGGGGCTTTACTTACATGGATTCCAGAATTATCATCAGGATGCTGGATCATTAACTGTAATCACATCCTTTACCTTTAATATCTCTTCGTGGCAGTTGCCATGTTATATTTCCTTTATAAACTTCAGTACTTTGAAATCATGACCAAAATATTTTTGAACTATCACTGTAGTCACCTTTTTATGAGACTATCCTATTGGATCATTAAGGTCGGGGTACTTTTCTTGGTACTTGTATTCATTCTAGATTATTTCTTTATGGACAATGGATATATTCAATTAGCAGATTTGCTAAAGTCAGTGAACCAAAATCAAATATGAAATTTATTTTAATATTTTAATTGAACCTAGTCTTGCTTCAACTTTTATGACTTTATTGTTGCCAATAGAGGAACTAGTTGAAGTGAAATTAATATAACTTATTAACATAACTTATTAATATTTTTTTATTGAGGGTATTTCTTGAAGAATGTTTTATTATCTTTTTCTGAAGAATATATTTGTTTTACATTCTATAAATATCTGCCTGGTGTTACATATATCTTCAGAAGTCTAATGCTCTCTCTTTTTTTTTTTCTTTATAGTACATTTTAAATGAAGTAAAACTACTTCTTTTTGGTCTGTACTTTTTCTTCTTTCTTGACTGTTTTCTTTCAAGGATTTTTTGTTGTTCTAAATGTCTTTATGTAGAGCTTTAGAGATTTTTCTTTACAGTTACCTTCATCTCCTTCTGGCTTACATTATTTTTTTTAGTCTGAATTATTCTCTGTGCAGTTTACTGGCTTTTTCTTTTCTTCCCCCCCCAGCTGATTAACCGTTTATGCTGGATTTGATAGAAACTTCTCCATCAAGATTAATCCTTTTATATCCACTAAATGCACAGGTTTAAAGTTTCCTTATCATTACATTTTCTCTGAGCCACTGAGTTGCCATCCCTTCTTGTGAATTCTGCTAATTCAACTTCTTTGTATTGGTTTTATCTATGTTAAAAATTCTATTTCTTTATGAAGTAAAAACTCCCCAGGAAGCAGTTGTGTTTCACAGTGTAGTTAAGTGCCTGATTTGTTTTGAAGCATTTAATTGCTTACAAGTTATGCTAAATTTTATGTCTAAATTAGCTTTCCCTTTTCTTATTTGAGGTAGAACTTTGTGAATCACACTTGTGTTGGATGTTGCTTGGCACTTGCCGCCCCCTTTTCTCAAGGATGATCCTGACTCCTTTCTTATTACAGTAGTTTTCTTATATTCTTGTCTGCTGTATGAAAAGATACAGCAGTTAAAACATTTTTTAAAGGTAGATGGACAGCAAAAGTTTTAAAGTGTTGGTGAGTGGTAGTGTAAGCGCTTCCCAGCTAAGCAAGCCCATTGACATACTCTTCTTTGGAATTTCCAGACTCTTACATGCATCTCTTAAGAAGCTGATTTCATCAGCTTTTGAATAAACTGGATATTTCTCATGTTAGTATTATTGCGGTGTTTTTGGTGTTTCCCTTCCCACGTGCAGAGATAAACGTTACGAATATGAATTTCATCAGCATTTTGAATAAACTGGATATTTCTCATGTTAGTATTATTGCGGTGTTTTTGGTGTTTCCCTTCCCACGTGCAGAGATAAACAGAGACCAATGAAGGGGAAAAACTAGAATAGAATCCTGGAGATGTGATTCCAGGTGGAATTGTTACTTTTACTGCTTCAGATCATAGTCTTGTCCTTCATTTTGAGATCTCAAACTTCATGAAGAAATAGTCTGCATCTGTGCCAAATACTACAGGAAGATACTTAAATATGATGTAAAGGACACCAGCAATGAACCATATAGGACCTACTGTAGACTGACACAATAGATCTGTTATTTTTTTAAGTGTCTGTATGCATTCAGATATTTGTCCTTCATGTGGCATATCAACTGACACCTTTCTGAATTAAGCAGTGAAACAATAAATCCAAATAAATACACTAAATTCTTAAGATTTCCCAATAGTGAAGTAATGCACGCAAAAGTATGCAGAAGGCATGACCATAGAATCATTGAATAGTTTGGTTGGAAAAGACCATTACGATCATCTCATCCAACCGTAAACCCAGCATTGCCAAGTTCACCACTAAAGCATGTCCCGAGAATCACATCTACACGTCCTTTCAATCCCTCCAGGGATGTGACTCCACCGCTTCCCTGGTCAGCCTGTTCCAATACTTGACAACCCTTTCAGTGAAGAATTTTTTCCTAATATCCAACATAAACCTCCCTTGGTGCAACTTAAGACCGCAGTGATACAAAGTACTACTGTGTTCATTACAAGAATTGATAGAGAGATCCCAAATTTTAAAAAAGATACAGATACCAGCCAATTGACAAATAGATCAAACTTAATACACCTGCAGCTTCCACATTTCATAGCTATTTCACAAAATAAATTGAATCCGATTGTTGTGGCTTAACCTCGGTGGGCAGCTCAGCCCCACACAGCCACTTGCTTAATCCCCTCTAGTGGGATGGGGAGAGGATCAAAGGGTAAAAAAAAACATGTTTTAAGGTAATGGCAGTTTAAGAGCCAAAGCAAAATTTGCTTGTGCAGGTACAGCAAAGTAAGAAATTCATTCACTGCTTCCCATCACCAGGCAGATATTCAGCTGTTTCTAAGAAAGCAGGGCTCCATCACATGTAACGGTGCCTTCCTCAGCTTTTATTGCTGAGCACAACGCCACGTGGTATGGGATAACCCTTTGGTCAGTTGGGGTCTGCTGTCCTGGCTGTGTCCTTCTCCAGGTCCTTGTGCAAGCCCAGCCTGCTCACTGGTGGGGCAGGGTGAGGAGCAGAAAAGGCCTTGAGGCTGTGCAAGCTCTGCTCAGCAATAACTAACACATCCCTGTGTTATCAGCGCTCGTCTGGTCACAATCCAGACATGGCACCATAGGAGCTGCTACAAAAAAATTAACTCAATCTCGTCCAAAACTAGTACACCTACTTCTAAGTTTGTTACATTCTCCCACAAATTTAATTTCTTCTTCATAAGACAAAGATCTGTGACATAAAATTGCTCTTTCTTTTTAGCCTCTTTTTTTGTAATACACCTACCATAAAAAAGAACAGATTTGAAAAGTGAACTTTTGGGGCAAGTTTTGTTAAGAGAGTATATATATTTAAAGCGCTGTTTTCTGATGCTCCTGTCTGCATTGTTATCTAGAATTGCGGCAACTTTCTTTGCCTTCCAATCACCTACTTTTGCTGTCCACATATCTTTCTTTTGACTAATTTTAACCTTACAGTTCCCTCAGTGACTCCATATACCCTGCTTAGATCCTACATAACACTTTGCTGCTGCTGCCTGACATTTGTAATCTTGTTTCACGTGTTTCTCTACCTTCCAACATCATTCTGCAAACTCTCTTTAATGTGGTAATACATACTTTCATGTCTTTCGCATAGCCATCATCATAACTCTCGAGTCCATACGTACCTTCTTCACACGTGTTTGTAAAATATACACGTTTGTTTTAGTTGGCTCCGCAAAAGGCTAACTTTCCTCCTTCATTGCACTTTAAAACATGATCTTGCAGTGTCAGCATTTGGATTTCCTATGGGTTTTTTTTAAACCTTTCCTCTTTTTCTACGTTCTTGTGTTGTTGCTTCTTTCACTTATCCATCCTGGTCTTCAGATTTCTTCTTTCCATTAATTTAAATATAATGTAGTTGTAAAAGTATTTCAGCAGGTTTTGGTCCATTTTCCAGAAGCAAATCCCAGAAGCAATTTGATGAGTGTATTCTTTTTGGTCCTCAAAACCTTACATTGCTGAACAGCACATACCGTGAAATTACAAGTGAAGTAATGTAGTTAAATGAATGTGTCACTGAAACATAATGATGAATCTAATATGTATTGTTCTTTCTGTGTTAGTTTGCAATAAAGCTTTTGGTTTTAATTTTTTTTTAAATCAGTAAGTTCTGTGGAGGTTTGCTAGACCTGAATTCCAGGCCAATTTTCTAGGCCTAAATTTGATATATTGCTTTGAAATGTAGTGATGCCAACTGTTCTGCCAGTGCGTGTGATCAGAAAAATACTTTAGTGGAACCTTGTGACCCATTTTTCATCATTTTGTGAAGCACTTCTTTCTCTTTAGTCTTCTTCACAGTCAGTTGGGTTCAAGGATTGCAGAGCACTTTTTTTTTTTGTTTTAAAGATTATGCATAATAATAAGATGATATAACAGATTAAAACTGAACCATTAATAGAGCATTCATCTTCCTGGTAGAAGCCCAGAAAAAAAGCAGTGGAAAGCTCTAGTAACAGTGACAGTGATTCGGGCTCCTCTTCAGACACCACAAGTGAAGGCATTAGTAGTAGTGACTCCGATGATTTAGAGGAGGATGAAGAGGAGGAGGAGGAGGACCAGAGTGCTGAAGAGAGTGAAGATGATGAATCTGATTCTGAAAACGAAGCACATCACAAAAACAAGAACAAGGTATGACACCTCACTCTGCAGCTCAGAGTCTTGTCACTGAAATCTGATTGTTAAAAATTGACCTGTTCACGTTTATACCGGTGCACGGTTATCTAAGTACACGTTAATGAATGCCAAGAATATTCTCTTTGGTTTTGCTTCAGGGTTTTCTAGGGGGTGGTTTTTGCTTTGTGTGCGTGCATGTGTGTGTTTTGTTGTTCTTTAAGGGCTAGGAGTTAATGGTTGGTAGACTCTTATCTTTGTTATAAAGTGGGAAATAAAACAGAAAGTAAGTGCTGTGTGCTGATACTATATTGGAAGTATATCTTACTGTTGATATTGTTTTGGTAGTTGCTTTTTTCCTAGTAAAGTGGTTACTTTTCCTGGTAGCCAATAGAAGAACAAGATTGGAATATTGGGTATCCCATTAGGGTTACAGACAAAAATACATTTAAAAACTACCATGGTTTAGGACAATTTCTTCACATGCTGAAACTATCTGGGGAAAAAACCCAATACCCTAAACAATATATACATGACAAGATTGATTTTTAAATTATTATTGTTCATCCTCTGCCAAGAATAGTATAATTGTTTCATGGGGACTGATGATGTACTTTTTTTTTTTAATCTAATATGAACAATCAAAAATTCATATTTTTCAGGTGCTAATGCATAGTGGCGTAACAGATATGAAAACTGATGAACAAAAACAACATGAAAAGTCTCAAGAAAAAAGAACACACCAGCAGATACCTCTTGTGTCTGATTCCCAGACTCACTCATCATTCCAGTCCCAGCAGAAGCAGCCTCAGGTTTTGTCACAGCAGCTTCCATTTATTTTCCAAAGCTCTCAGGCAAAGGAGGAATCTGTGAACAAACACACAAGTGTAATACAGTCTACGGGATTGGTTCCCAATGTGAAACCTTTGTCTTTGGTACATCAAGCCAAAAAGGAAACCTATTTAAAACTCATAGTTCCTTCCCCTGATCTACTCAAAGCAGGGAATAAAAATACCTCTGAGGAATCTATCTCTTTGACCAGCGATATCAGATCAAAGCGGGTGAGTGAAAAATCACTGCTTTTTTATTTTTTTGTAACTTGCATTGCCTGCTTAACAAGATGCAACATTCTGATCTCAAGGCCTTTTAAAGACCATGTTTTAAAATTATATGTATATTTATTTTCATATCATGGTTTTTTGACATGTTTTTAGAGTTGCTACGGATTTCTAGAGTTGGGGCTGTTCAGCCTGGAGAAGAGAAGGCTCCGGGGGGGTCTTATAGCGGCCTCCCAGTACCTGAAGGGGCTACAAGAAAGCTGGGGAAGGACTTTTCATGAGGGCAGTTAATGACAAAACAAGGGGAAATGGGTTTAAGCTGAAAGAGGGCAGGTTTAGATTAGATATTAGGAAGAAGTTCTTCACTGTGAGGGTGGTCAGACACTGGCCCAGGTTGCCCAGAGAAGCTGTGGCTGCTCCTCCCTGGAAGTGTTTAAGGCCAGGCTGGATGAGGCTTTGAGCAACCTGGTCTAGTGGAAGGTGTTCCTGCTGCTGGCAGGGGGGTTGGGACTGGATGAGCTTTGATGTCCCTTCCAACCCAAACCATTTCATGATTCTGAATAATGTAAATTTACTAAATTGTGTGGGTAATACGTGTTCTGAACTGTGGTGGTTGGTTGGGGTTTTTTTAATTGTTGTTGTGGTTTGGTTTCTTTTTTATAAAGAGCAGCAAATACTAGCTTCAATTTTAGAGATGATTTGCTATACGTTACAAGTGCCTTGAGCTATTCCATAACTTTATCTTGGAGAAAAGTCATCTGCTTGGTGGTGCATGTGCATATATACATACCCTAATGTGTACAGGATGTAATCACATACACAGCTTACTCTCACATAATGCCAAAGTTGAGTTTCATGCTCATCACATAGTGAAACTTTACAACTCTTATGAAAGCAGGGTACTGGTGAGAATAATGGGTACGAAGAAAGCAAAGGATTTAGTCATGCATCTCTCAGGGAAAAAACAGCAGCAAAAATCAATATCAAAGTAAGAAAAGTACTCATGGGTAAATTGCGTGGCTTGGCTGTTTCTTCTGTGCTTCTCTTAGTTTTAGTCAGAATGCTGGTTTAATGCTTTCAGTATCTAGCATGTAAGCATAGCTTTGCTTTGTTTAAGGTTGGATAATTTTAAGTCAGAGTAATTAAAGTTACCTGTTTTAATCATTATTTTAAAAAGAGTAGCTTGAAGTCTTTTTAAAAAAAATATTTGATTTAACCTTGGGTTTTATTTGCACTTTAAAGGCAGAAGGTTATTCATGCACTGTTAGCTGTTAAAAAATCAGTATGGACATTCCAATAAATTTGATTATCCTTTTTACTGATCAGGACAATCTGATATATATCTACAATATGTTTACATGTGTCTGTCTTAACAGTTCTATAGCTTACAAAAATTCTTTGTAGATTCTCAGTTTATTTTGTTTATAGTGATTATAGTGACTAGTGATGAATTTTCATTATTTCTATTCACTCTAGATTTGAATAGGGATTAGCAGAGAGCAAAAATCTTGCATTTTAGAAACATTTGAGGCTTGATATATATAGTTATATATATAATTACATTAAAAAGTACATTTACCGAGGCAAGTTTCATTATTAGAAACAAACTTTGCTTTAAACTAAGTAGTATTGATTAAGAGTAAGCTGAACTCTGATTCACAGTTAACTCACAGTCCTCGGTGAGGACTGAAAAATGTTTTTATCATGTGGTTTTTGTTCCTAGACCAGAAGAGAAACACTATTTTTCCCTTCAACACCCAGTTACTTCATAAAATTCAAATAAGCTAGTAGTTTACCTGTAATGTTTAAATAAATTATAATTAGTAAAACATACATCTGCCTTTGAAAGAGGCTTCTGCTGTCAAATTTAGGTTATGAGTCTTTAGCTAATGATACATCTAATATTGAGTGGTTTGATTTCTTTGAAAATTTTACTGGAAACATGCACTGTGTAAATACTTATTTTACAGGTTTTCAAAATTTCATATTCAGTTTTAAATGTTAGTAATTTCAAGAATGTATTGTATTTTACCTAATATTTTAAAACTGATTTAAAATGCACCATATTTATACATATTATTATTTTTTCCATCAAAGATGATGTATTTTCTTTTTCCTTAGAAGAGTCTTGAGACTAAAGACAGTGTAAGCTTTACATGCATTTCTGTATGCCACTACAGATTGTTTTACCTGAAGAATTTTCAAGTACTACTTTTCAGAGTTAAAAAAGCTAGCATATCATGGTACTTCTGAGTAACACCTTTTTTCCTTTTTTTTTTTTTTAATAACATTTTTCTATGCTACGAGCCTTCTCTTGGTTTTCTGCTAGTATTGTAGCCATTAGTGTGTTGTATTTACCTGATGGTTTAAAATTAATAATGTACTAAAGCCAGTTTTACATTCACTAATGAGATTTTCTATGCTGAAATGAGTAAAAAGCATTTTTTGGGTTTTTTTCTATGCCAGTACATAAGAGTAGTGTCTTTTTAAAATTTTTTCAAGATGTTTAATATCTTTAAGAAAATCACTGTCTGGAGTGATGTAGCAAGAGGAAACGCTTCCCTACATAATTTAGATCAGCTTCATCTTGAGTTCAATTTGTCTCTTCCTACTGGATTTACAGTGAAAATCAGGAGAGAGACTTATATAACTCTTAGTTACTCATCTCTTCTGTTGTAGCTAGCACCTACTTTTGACCTACTAAAAATAGCTTATCAGATGTTTAAGATTTCATAGAGTTTACCTGCCTGAATAAAAACCAAACAAACAAATATCCCAATAACCACATTTTATTCCTCTGTCTTCTTACTTCTTTAGGAACAATATAAACAGACATTCCCAGCAGCACATCTAAAGAAACAGGAATCATCTAAGAACCTGAAGAAGGTTATTGCAGCTTTGTCAAGCCCGAAACCGACACCTTGTTCACCAGCTCATCAAAAACTCACATCCTTGGAAAACAACCATTCTAATCCATTCCTGTCAAATGCACTTTTAGGTAATCACCAACCCAATGGAGTTATTCAGAGCGTCATCCAGGAAGCTCCTCTTGCACTTACTACGAAACTGAAATCCCAGACCAAGATCAACGAAAGTGTAGCCATTTCTAGTAGCACCCCCTTTTCTTTGCCAGTAAACTTGAGTGCATGTGGGAAAAAAACAACTGGTAACCGGACACCTGTCACGCCCTCTACCTCTCCTGTGTTACCTGGTTCAGGAAAGGATAAACCAGTCAGCAATAATGCAGCAAATGCAGTAAAAACAGAACACCGCCTTCATTCTGCAAAATTGGTTGTGGAGCAGTTCAGAGGGGTGGACTCAGATGCCCCCAGCAGTAAGGACTCTGACGACTCAAATGATGACGATGACGACGATGAAGATGAAGATGAGGACGATGAAGATGATGATTCTGATGATAGCCAATCAGGTGGTTTAAACTTTTTAATAGGAAAAGCAGAAACTTTTTTTTTTTTTGAGTGTTCAAAACATGCATTTCCCACCATATTTTAAAATAGGAGTAGGAAATTTTGGGGCTGCATAGCCCACAGAGTGTCTTACATATGATCTTGGAAAGTAGGACATGTCTCCCAGTCCCCCATTGTTGTGTCTTGGGTACTCTGATACTTGGTCATATGGCAAGTATACTTTCAGCTGTCCTGGTATAGTGCTCCACTGCCTTCTGGAAAGGCTTTCGGAGACCTACCTTCCACATCAATCACCCAGCCTGCAGCTCGTGTGCTGCTTATGTGGCAAGGTGCCTAGGAGGGGGGTGGAGAGAATAGGCTGGTTGATGGTTAATTATTCTGGCAGTCAGAGCCCATAGACACAACAGGCTTCCCCAACCAGAGAGGAACTAAACAAAGGCCTTCAAATTGTCAAGAGCTGCAAGAAAAGCATGTTTCTAGGCTTCATTCAGGAGCGCAGTAGTCAATGAGCAAGATTAAAGTACCAGGACAGTTGCAAGGGCTGCAGTTATAGACAGCATTCAGACCACTATTTGAAAGGCTTTTAAACAGTTCAGAGAGGCAGGGCCTGTTTTAAAAAGGTGATTGTATATCCAGTCACTCCTTTCTTCCCTGTGTACCGATATCCCTTGGATCCAGCTCCGCCTTAATCGTTTTCTTTCCTCCTCTCATCCACCCCCTGTACGAACTCTTTTTTTTCCTCACAGCTGTAGCCTATCTTTAGTTCCATATCCTATCTATGCTTCAACTCTTCCTTTGTCCACATTGCTACACTTCCAATTCTGACACCTTTCAGCCCGTACCCAGTTCTGTCATCTGCTTCCTCTTCATGCTGGATTTCACAACCTGTGAAGTGCCTTTCCTTTGGTAGTGTTCAACCACTGCCTGGGTCCCAGGGAATGTCTTGGCTGTAGCTCATGCTAGGGCAAACAGTCTCAAAATCCTGCAGCTTCTGTCTCTCATCTCCTCATGGAAAAACAAAAGAATTCTGTTCAAAACAACAGTGCATTATCATGCAGAATTACTTTATGCTGTCATAATTGTAGTAGTTTTAAAGATTATGTAGTTAATTATAACCTTCTATTTATGCTCAAAGAGATTTTATAAAAAAAAAATTGAAATCGGAAAAGCTTTTTTAAGACAAAAGACTTTGCAAGTGTCGCCACTTAAATGCATTTGCAGTTAGTTATCAAGTCATAATGTGCCTTTTGCCACACTTTTTTTTAAGCAGAGTCTGACAGTAATTCTGAGTCGGATACAGAAGGGTCTGAGGATGAAGATGATGACGATAAAGATCAAGATGAATCAGATACAGACACTGAGGGAGAAAAAACTCCACTGAAACTGAATAAAACTTCATCCTCTGTGAAAAGCTCTTCCATTGGTCTTGCAGCTCATTCCACACCGCTCAATCTCCAAGTAGCAAAGACCCCAAGCTCTGCACCAGCTGCCTTATGTCCTGAGTCCCAGCCTGCGGTGTTTCTTGGGACAGCACCATCTACTCTTACACCAAGTACACACTGTGGTATCTGAATGTCCTTTGTTATAGTATAGTGTAACATCTAAGTAACATGTGTTGTAAAAGTTGTAATAGAAGTAGTTTAGATACTACTATCAAGTTATATCTTGACATAAGAAATAAATTCCTTACAATAAGAACAGTCATTCACTGGAACAACCTCTCCAGGGTTATGGTAGAGTCCCTGTCACTGGCAGTTTTCAAGATGTGGTTGGACAGGGTGCTAGACAATCCCATCTGAGCTCCCTTTCCCAAGAAAGATTGGATCGGATGGTCTTTTGAGGTCTCTTCCAACCTGGGCTGTTCTCTGATGGCAACAGGTATTAGAATCAGTCAGCAGAATTGCAAGTTCTCATTTGTACTCTAGCAGATCTTTATACCTAGTCCAGAACATTTTAGCTTATATAATTATTTGAGAAAAGGTAGGATGAAATAGCCAGAGTTGATATTTATTACATTAGAACTCTTCATTATTTAGTCTTTGTTATTTACCATTTTATTCTAAACTAGTTATTCTTATTTATTTATAATTTCTATGCATTATAGTTTTATTATACCTTATAAACTGTATTTAGTTAAAATATAAATTTATTCATTATTCTTTCAAAGTTATCAGTCAAATTTATGCATTATGTGCAAATAATTATTTTTAAAAGGTTCATAAAAATGCATTTAGCATTTGCCTGTATGTTTATAATCCTAATTTTGTGACTAATTTTGTAACATTTAGCAATTGAAAGTCACACTTCTCAGTTTGCATGGTGACAATTAAATTGCGTATCTACTACTTGATACTTAATTAACATGCAAGCCAGTAGATTTTAAATTGGGACATCCGCTCATAAACTGGTCTGTATATTTAGATTCAGTGTAATAGGAATTTAATTCCTTGTCATCAAGTATATTAACTTCGAAGCAGTGTAATGCAATCTACTTCATATTTTTCCCAGAACCAGGCCTATTAATTTCACAGATTATAAAAGATTTCCCATGCGTTAGGATTAATCCAAGTTGTAAAATGATAAAGTTAGTTTTTTTGCCTAGGAATCTGTGTTGGTTTATGATGCTTTGAAAAGGCTCGTAGGAGATTTTTATCTGTTTAGGGAGGTGGAACGTAGAAAAAATAATTTTATGTCCTTGTTCTAGGTATAGTAGTTATTTCTAGTAAGAATCACTGTAATACAATTAAAATATTCTTTGTGCTCATTTTACCTAAAGGTTGTCAGTTACTGAAGAGGTGTGTGTCTCTTCTCTGGATCTGTTTTTCAGTGGACAACTTGTCTTCTCAATTTGTTCGTATTTGGACAGGCAGTTTCCCTCCCTCCACTGTGACTATTAGACTCAATGTAATAATCATGTTAGTTTAAGACTGCAAACGTGTCCAAGAACTTTGGCGTCCAAGCATGGGAAGTTCTTCAGTGCTTTCTTTAGAGGACTCTTGGCAGTCTTCCAAATCGTGCAGGCATCTCTGTTGGAAACCTGTGCCATTGCACTGTATGACACTCCTCCTGGCTGTAAGAGGTTGGAGGAAGTTTCAGGGGTTCAGTATGATAATTATACTGTCTCGCGTGCATTGCTACAGGGAAGAGATATGACACATTCTTTACACAAGGTCCAGACTATCTTTTTGAGAAATAAATCTTCCAAAAGTCTGTGTCTGTACATAAGTTTGTGTCCTACGGCTCTCTCAGTGAGGCCTGAGAAAAGTATGGACATTTGGCACTCTGTAAAACCCCACGTTTGGCAATTCTTTATCATGTTATTGGTTCAGTCTCTTGACTAGCACACAACATCTGATTGAACTTTGAAAAGCTTGAATAATCCTGAAAATTTTCTACATTTGCCGGTTTACTGCAAATGTCTGGATTTTTAAAGTAAAGAGTGTTTTCGTTTTCAACTTCTATACTGAAAAAAACTAAATATGGTCTAGTATATAGAAAAACGGGTATGCAAGGAATTCTATTAGCCATATCTGAGAGAGTCAAACAAGGCAAGCAGTTCAGTATGGCATATAGGTTTTTTTCTGTTTACAATTTTAGAAGAAGGGGTTAAAGGAAATTTAGAGGACAATGTATTTCAGAAGTAGAAAAGTTATGTTACTTTTCTTAATGCTTGAATGTAAAAATAATTTATCTTTTGGTCTGGGGATATAAGGATAAAATATATTTTTAGGAACATGTCTTCATTTTGTAAATTTTCTTAGTTATTTAATCAGAAATTTTGTTTTAGGTATTTCAAAAAGACGAAGAGTAACAGATGAAAGGGAGCTGCGTGTTCCTCTGGAATATGGGTAGGTTATCTATTCACTTTATAGTCCTTGAAGGGAGAAAATACTTCCAAAAGTCAGTTGGTACAGAGATGGCACTTTAAAAAATTTTGAGACTGAATAATAAGGAAAGAGCTTCAATGATTTAGATTTCCAACTCACAGTGATTGTGGATCTCTTTAAAAGTGTGAATATATTTCATGTGTTAATTTTTGGTATCAAATTTTCTCTTTTGCAAACATGACCTATCTCTTACGAGTTTTGCCACTAGAATATAGTCCTGATAGCTCTGAGACAGTACGGACTCCAAATAACTCCCTGAAATATAATGCTAAGCCATTTAAAATCTGGTAATGTATAAGTAGCTTGATATAAATATATTTATATATGGTCTGAGTTTGAACAGTCTAAATAATAACAACTTCTGGTTTTGCCTATTTTATTTATGATTTTCTCATCACATTTTGGATATGTACCTTTTTCCTTTTATGTAAAAACCTTAAATTGGCATTAATTACTTTTTTTTTTTAATGTTTTGTATGCACCTATTTCATATTACTCTAGCTGGCAAAGAGAAACCCGAATAAGAAACTTTGGTGGTCGTCTTCAAGGAGAAGTAGCATATTTTGCACCTTGTGGAAAGAAGCTAAGACAGTATCCTGAAGTAGTAAAGGTATATTCCTTTTTTTAACTTCTGTGTTCTAATGCTACAAAGCATGCTAGCAATTAAAAAATGCCATTTTTTTTCCTCCGATAAAGATTTTTTTTTTTCAAGATGTTGGGCGTAATGTATCTCAGTCTGTTACTGATCTGATCTCCCATAAATGTGTACCCCTTTGATAGAATATGCAAAACATGACACTCACAAAGTTAGCTGTACATCAAAGCTGAGTTGTAATTATTTACAAGCTGAAGTGGAAAAATATGTGATTTTTTCAGTATCTCAGCAGAAATGGAATAATGGATATCTCAAGGGACAATTTCAGCTTCAGTGCAAAAATAGGAGTGGGTGACTTCTATGAAGCCAGAGATGGACCGCAGGTATCCACTTTTTAAAAAGTAAAGTCTTTGATCCAAGGAACATTAACTTAAATTTAGGTGAAGTAATTTTTGCTACAAGCATTGCCTGTTTTTAGCTAATTCTTTCTTAAAATTGTGAGTATTTCTTAATAGTAGTTATATTGGGATGCTGAGAGCTTGATCCTGGGCAGTGTTGATAACCGCTCCTCTCAGTGATTTTATTAGGAGCTTGTAGGAGTTCAGCATGCCTTATGATCAGCTCTGAGCCTTGGACTTCTCTAGTACGAAAGAACTCTGAGCTACATATTTTGTATTAGTCAGTGTTCAGATATTTCTGACTAAAATTCTATTTCTTCTTTTCCTGTATAAACCTAATATTGTTAGTAATTTTATGTGTATGTGTTAATTCACACACTTTTCATGTATTCATGTGCATAATATATAGAAAATACATGTTTAAATACAAGTGTTCCGGTATTGAGAATAGCGTCTGAGCTTCCTGAAGCATGAGTTTTTAATAGGAAGGAATGCTGAGTTATACTAGTTATACTTTACGGTGATAGAACTGTTAGACTTTGCATAGATAAACGACGCAAGGATAAGGAAAATTAGAATTTTAAGGAAATGAATACTGTGTTTGTGCCATACTGTGTTAATATATTTTGGTCATGTTGCCGTTTTTTCAGAATGTGCACAAAAGTTTTTGCACTTCTGACAGTGAATATATTTGCTTCTTTAAAAGATACGTATTCTGAATGTGTTACTACAGGAATGTGGACAGACATCACACTCTCAGAAATCTTGAATTCAGGCTCTAGTTAAAACTTATGTCCTTGTGATACCCTTTAGAAATACATAACGTTTACATAAATTGGAAAGCAATAAAGTCTGAGTTCATGGTAAGCAGATACTTCTAGATAGTGCTTCCCAATTCCTGGCTTACAGGGTAAAACATTGCTAAACCCCCTTCATGTTTTGCCTTCATAAAACAAGAGTTACAGGGTCATGTAGTTGTGAACTTCACTATGTGCCTGAATAGCTTGACTGAAAGAATTCCTTATACTGTGGACATAGTGTAATGTCTGGGTATCTGGTTTCTTTTTACTCTGTTGCCTTTTTTGTGTCTGTTGTCCATATTACTTCATTAGTCTTTTCCCTTTCTCTATTTGTCTCTGTCTTCTCTCTTTAATTCATGAGATGATTTGCAGATTTTGCCCTACCTTGATTCTGTAAAACTTCAGAATGAAGGCATCAGGAATGGTAGGTTTCTGTAGGCAGCGCTGGCAATATGAATATTAAGTTGCTTTACATCTCACTGTAGCTTCTGCTTGTGTAGTTCATGGTAGGTTCTATTGAGACTTGGTTAGAGAAAAGAAAAGTTTTCTTGTTAAAAAAAAAAAAAAGAGACCGGGGGCAGATGTGCTGAAATATATTTTACATTTTATGTATGAGATATTGAATGAGATTATCATGTAGACAGTTGAGCTACACTCAGGTTGATAATCTGCACTTAGTAAAACAGTATATGATACTTATACTTTATGAAGAAAATTTGCACATTTTTACTGAAATTCTTTGAACTGTCCAGGTTCAAAACAGAATTTGATAATGATACCTTCCTGGATGTCTGGAGGTAATTCCAGGAATTTTATTTCTGCTTTTGCTGTTAATTTTGATTATTCTGTATAGCCTTTCATGGTTACTCTTCCCTTTTTTCGTTATGTGTTTCTGTCATCTTTTGAGACATGCAGCATGCATCCAAAGTGGTTTGGTAAGTTTCACAAAGCTCAAAGATGGAACAAGATGTGAAGAAAATTATCTAAGGGCTAGATCAGTTATATTGAAGAATTACTTCTAGGAAGCCAAAACCACATGGATTACCTGCTTCTGTGTTTCTCTCTCTTGGTACACAAGCAACCAGATACTGTGGGTTATCAAAGCAGTGATTAACTGCTTTCGCAGAGAACTGTATCTGGCAGAAGTGGGCCATTAAATAGTAGGGTCAGAGTAGTGTTTTAAGTTTGGCAAATGTGGAAATTCAGTGACAGAAACTGGAGGATTTAAACTGCTGTGGTTTAGAAAGATTAGTGTGATTTGCGGGTATGGGGAGGTCATGGATCATTATGAGTTCGAGTAATGTGGATAGGAATACTGTCTCAAGTAGCAGATGGAAGAGAGTGTTATGGAGTGACACTGAACTGTGCCCTAAGATTGCATCTTGCTGGCTTTGATTAGTATATAACAGTAAGAATATCCATCACAGAATGGTTGAAGGGATCTCTGGAGGTGCACCTTGTTGAAACCCCCTTGCTCCAGAGGGGTCACCTAGAGTCAGATACTTAGGACCATGTCTAGACAGCTGTTGAAAATCTCTCAAGTAGGAGACCACACAGCCTCCCTGAGCCCCCTGTTACAGTTCTCAGTCACTGTCGTGGTGACAAAATGCTTCCTGATGTTCAGAGGGAACCTCCTGTGTTTCAGTTTGTGCATAGGACTCTTGTCCTGTCACTGGGCACCTCTGATAAGAGGCTGGCTGTGTCCTCTTTGCACCCTCCCTTTGGGTATTTATACACATTGGTGAGATCATCCTGAGCCTCCTCTTCTGCAGGCTGAACGTTCCCAGCTCTTTCAGCCCTTCCCTTCACAGGGTTATTATGTAGTTAGAGAAAACTTGACTCTCCATGCAGCATTTCAGATCCGTTTAATTTGAAGATGAGATGTCAGTAAGGGCAAAATACAGACTTTTTAAACTGTGTATAACTCTTGGAGTAATCATAAAATAGTGGTAAACATGGCATGCACTCTTTTCCCCAATAATATTTTGCATAAAGCTGTGAAAATAATGTAATTTTTTTTTTTTCTAACTGGTCTTAATGCCTGCCTAGGAAGGCAACTGAATTTTCAGGAACAGGAAAGGAGGAAAGTGCTTGAAGTACTTTTTCTTATGTCCTTAGTGTGAGGTGACTCCTATGTACATTAGCCTTTCTCAGAGGATCTCATTATGGTCCTACCTTAGAACAAAGACAGTGTGTCTTTATAAGGTGTGAAGTCTTCCTCTTTTAAGCCAATTCTTAAGCTTATTATGCCTTAATTAAGAGACTTATTCTGTATATAAGTATTTAGAAGTTTAAAGTGTTTATTACAAATGAAATAGAAATACCATATAGAACAGCCAACTATAAAATCAGCTGTCATGCGTTTGTAATGTAGTAGTAATTATTTGCTTCCTTTTCTAGAAACTAGAATTTAAAATGTTTGTCCTTTTATGAATTCTGAAATTCAGATTAGAAAGCTTTGTTGTTGACTTTTTCTCACAAATCTAATCTGAAATTTATTAGGAAGTCTCTGCTTCTTGAAGAGTGCCTATGGTTTTGTTTGTTAGTTTGGTTAACAGTCTCTGCGCTTGTTTCTACTTCCACGCATAGTTATCTGCTGCCTTTTGGCAAATGTCCTGATCACAGTTCAGTACTGCAACAAGTGGTAGATGACTGAAGGCGAGAAATTCAATTAAGTTATTATTTTGATTAGTTTCAAAAATAAACCAGAACAATTCATATTGTGGTTCCCATTTTTTCTCTAATGCTTGTGTAGTGAAGCTTAGATTTTATAGAAGCCCTTGTTTCTCCTGTGTTGGGCAGAACCCCCATATTTTTTATTTGGAATATTGAAAATCCACAGAATATCAGATTGTATGTTCTTTAATTAGAAATTTTTTTGGGTCAGATTTTAAAATATATTAGAGCACAAAACACAGATGGTCAATTAACTCATGCTTAACCCTTAATGGACCTGTTCTGGACTATTACTGTCTTGTCCTCTCCTAAACTTGTGGAATCTTGTTGCATCTACAGTGTCCTTTGGCAGGACATTAAACAGTCTTCTCCTCGTTTCTTGAAATGCCAGTTCCTTTTGCTCATTGAACCTTCTACCAGCTTCATTTGATGGCCTCTAGCTTCTATTTTGAAAGTCATTAGGAAAATGTAATATATATCCACAGTCTCTGTGGCACTAACAATCTTTTGGACCTCCATCTTGCTCTTTTCTGCATATTTGTTCTTATCATTAACCATAGAAAATACAAACACAGAGCAAGAGCAATTTCCATTGCAGGATCTAAGGTAGTACTTCTCGCGTTATGGCTGCTTCTCCCCCCCCCCTTTTTTTTTCTTCCCTCTGGTACTTGCAGTTTATGGGATAAGGTTTCCTAGGGTGGAGGTTCATGGAGGTGATAAGAATACTATTAAATCAAGCTGACATTGCCCTACAGACTGAACCTGTGATAAATTTTAAGTCAGGTGGTAGACAGTGAAATGAAAGTGTACACCTAAGTAGTACTCTTAAAGATAGAAAATTAATTAACTTCTTTTAAGTGGTAGAAGTAACTGTTTGGGATTCAAAAGTCCTTAGTAATGATGTACGCATAGTGATAGGGTCATGATTCTGAACAGCTTGTTTTTAGGAACATAGCTAATAAAAAAGCCATTTGGAATGTCATTAAGTGTGAGATGTACTCTTGGGATGGTCTTACCTGGGAGTGATTCAGACTTTATAAAAAGGTATCTTTGCAGATACTGATAACTTCCTTGGAATCTGAATGTTTCATTAGCAAAATGCCACTTCTTTTGTCAAACCTTACATTAAACATTTGTAATTATGAAGAATAAGCAGGAAGAATTAAAAGATAAGTTATCAGAATAACCAAATAAAAACATTTTATGGCACAGCAATTTTCAGTATTTATATACTTAAAAATGTGAAAACGTTGGTCACGCAAAGGTATTTTTTCTGAAGTGATAAAGTGATTTTTTCTGATATTTAATTAATGTGTTTTAAGTTATCAACATTCATTTGTGCTTTAGCAGACATTTTCAAAATCTTTATAAATCTTTTTAAGGCAAATTGTGGAGTAGTCCTGAAGGATACTTAGCTTACCTTTTTTCCAGCATTTTTCAAAAACTTATGAATATATTAAAAGGTGTTATAATTCTGAAATACTCATGTTCAGTGAAACAGATTTGGATAGACTGTGTTCCCTTTCTGCTCAGTAGATGCAATAAATTCTACTTTTTATCAGTTAAACTATTTTTATGTGAGGACTAATGGGTATTTGTATTAACCAAAGTATTTCGGTATTTGTTTTTGAGATTCCACAAAAACCCAATAATAATAGTGAAAGAAAGACTTGAATCTATTGCTGCATACTTTGCTTAGCTGGGGAATATAGCTGCCATAAGTTCTAGTTCAGATAGATGGACTTTTATAAACTTTTCATTGCTTCAAGTTGGCACAGAAATTAATTTTCTTGCAGTGAAGGAGGGGAGACCTAAATTGTACTAAACAAAACCTCAAGATTAAAATGAGTTTGTGTTTTTTTGACTCAGTTTTTGAGATCTACAACACCCCAGAAAGCACTATGTGAAAATATACTACTGCGTTTGCTTGTTATGTATGTGTAAATTTCTGTAAACACTTAACAGTTGGAAGACAGTGACTTGACATATTTTTTCATTCACATTGAGCAGTTGATTATGTGAAAGCAGAGTAGTTATTTTTGTGTTTAAGGAAGAATCTGTTTTGCCTTTTAAAAAGGGTTGAACAATAAGCAATTTTGTCACAAATAATTAAAAATAATGAAGTAGTGGCATACGTGCTAGGTAATAACTGTGTATGTCACTGAATTATGTTCAAGATCTTGCATAGTAGTACAATTTACAAACGTTTGTAAGGATAATTCTCAATATAGAACTTCTGTGCATCATCAAAACATTGTACTACCCAAATAGTATATAACAAAAAAAGGAGGAAAAAACCCTAAACCTCTTTCTGTTCATGTTCTCAAGTGTCTTAGATTTATTTTTCCTTTTTTAAATCTGTGTTTATAATACCTGTTTCTGAAATGTGTCGATTAAAAGGGTGTGCAGTGGTGTCTTCTGAAGGAAGAGGAAGTCATTCCCCGTATCAGAGCTATGGAAGGGCGTAGAGGACGACCACCAAATCCAGACAGACAGCACTCTAGAGAGGAGTCAAGAATGAGACGACGCAAAGGCCGACCTCCGAATGTTGGTAGTTCCAAATTTCTAGATAACACCGACGCAAAGCTTTTAAGAAAGCTCCAGGCGCAAGGTAAGAATTATTTTACTGTTTTCAGAAACAGAGGGTATCAATCTATAGAGAGTTAATGTTTTTTCTGAAGAGGAGTGATATGTTTCACTAGAGAATTAGTATACAACATTTTGTTTTGGAAATTTTTCACATGCTTTTATTGAAGCCTTTTTCAAGGTCAGTAAATGTATATGTGATTCAGTAAACGTATATATGGTTCACATGTATATATGACATACATATCCTGATTTGGGTTAGGATTAAAGGGAAGGCAGGGAAAGGTTATGTTACAGTGGGGGTCTGCTATAGGCCACCTGACCTTGGAGACCAAGCAGTTGAGTCCCTCTATAGGCAGGTAGGAGCAGCCTCACATTCACAAGCCCTGGTCCTCATGGGGGACTTCAACCACCCCGACATCTGTTGGAGAGACGACACAGCAGGGGAAAAACAATCCAGGCAGTTCCTGGAATGCATGGATGAGAATTTCTTTCTCCAAATGGTCGGGGAACCAACGAAGAAAGTTGCCGTGCTGGACCTTGTTCTCACCAACACGGAGGGACTAGTTGGGAATGTTAAGTTCTCAGGCAGCCTTGGCTGCAGTGACCATGAAATGGTGGAATTCGAGATCCTCAGGGCAGTGAAGAAGGTGCATTGTAAGCTCACCACCCTGGATTTCAGGAGAGTAGACTTTGACCTCATCAGGAATCTGCTTGGTCAGGTGCCGTGGGATGTATTCATG